TCATAAATCTTTGAATCGAGTGCTAATTTTTTAAGTGAACTTGGCAAATGGAAAGTAGAGGAGGAAGAGTTTGGAGTCCACCATGTCCTATATGATAGAGCAAGAGTCCTTGATGAGTAAAGTCAATTCTTGAAGCTCAAATGTCATATTAAAGCTATATGTGCATGAATGATTAGCTTGTCGCCTTGTTGATAATGCTTGAGTGGTGTGGGTAATTATTGGTCCCAACTAAGGTGCAAATGGCTCACCTTTGTCTCGCTGTAATGACCCTTAACTTCTGGAGGTGGGAACTAATTTATTTGCGTGAGGACAAACAAAGACTTAAGTCTGGGGGAGTTGATAAGTGGGGATTTTGACTGCTTATTATCACCTTTTAGCTTTTGTCTTAGCCCAAACGAAACTAATGAAATTATGCAATTGAAGGAGTGCTAGAAGCTTGGCCTCTCGAGATGAAATCCGATTAAAAAGGAGTGATCAGAAACACAAGACAATAAAGGGTGTAGAAGCAAAAATGTGCGGTCCGCAGAAGGAATTCTGTGGCCGCAGAAGAAATTGTGGACCGCAGAATTAGATCTTCGGCTGCAACCAAGAAGGAAACTTTAACAGGACTTTTGGAAATGTATAGTCCGCATATAAATTGTACGGATGCAAATCTGTATTTTTACTGACAAAGATGCAAAGTTCAAAGAGTATGCTAAAAGACTAAGTCTTGTTGCCCTTGTGATGTGCGGACCGTACAAGAATTGTGCGGTCGCAAAAGATTGCCTCACAACTGCAGTTCAAAAATGTACGACTGCAAAACTCCACTTCCTACCAACTGAAGACATCGGCGGACCACACATGGAATTGGCGGTCGCAGAACCTCTCGGAGGGCATTTTTGTCCGAGATTTTCAGCCCTGTATAAATAGATGAGTTTCATAAAATTATGTCAAGTTTGAACATCTAAAGTTACTGTAGCCATTTTTCTTTACTACTTTAGGAAGTTTTACATTATTTTTGTGTTTTAACATTAGATTTATTTATTTTAATCTTCCACTATGAGTTTAATTAGCTTTTCTTCTCTATTTTTTGTAATTTCTATTATGAGTAGCTAAACTTCAAGTAAGGTTGTGACCCAACCCTAGTGTGTAAACCTTATGGGTGATTAATTTAGTGTTTGCTTATGATTGCGTGTTTATTATTTAGCTTATTTCATGCTTCAATTGTAGAACTAATGGTTGCAAACGTTGATTCATGCCTATTTGACTTAGTCTCTACTTGAGAAAGAGGGATCTAGTCTAGGATAACTTAGCTAATAAGGAATTAGGTCAATTGAGAGATTGATTACAAAATTAAAGGATTCAACCTAGAAATAGTAATAACCTGACTTGAGCTCTTATCAACTGTTTTGGTTCATACCCAATTGGTCTTGAGAAAGCCAAATTGGGCAAAACCACTCTTTGACCGAGAGGTATGTAGTGGGTAATGTAGAGCTTTGAACTATAATATAACCCAATCAACAATACAAGCATTGACGTCTTTATCCCATTAGGCAAACACATAGGTTATGGTTACAGCCCTAGGCCTTTAACCCATTTGAAAAAAAACCTTAAAAATATTTATCTCTAGTCTATTTTATTTATCTTGCAATTATTAGATTAACAGTAGAAATAGAAAATAAAACCATGTTGTGGAAGTGTAATCTAGATAACCCATTTATTTACTTCAAATATATACCCTTAACTCCCATCATAACTCCCAGTGGATTCGACCCCGACTCTTAGTTGGGTATTTATTATTGCGTACGACCATTTCATATCTCTATTGAGGTATGCTTTGGAGGTGATCACCCCCTCCACAGTCTCCTGACCATGGGAATTTGGGGCACAACTATTCACCCTCTTCTGCAGATCCCCAAGGGAGGAGGAGCGTATCGCTCTCGATCTCAAACAAATGTCATCTGCTATCTTAGACGGTGGAGTTTGCCAACTATCTGAAGCCTCTGGCTTGAGAAAAAGATAAGAAGAAAATAAATTCTATTTCATGGGAGTGTTTGTTTAATAATGTCATGCACAATGCAGCATCGGTATCATACTTGTTCTTTTATTGCTTGTTTCTACTTGACTTGTTATGGCATGGTTTCTAACTTCGGCATTTGCTTTGCAGGCAAACTCCCTCGCTTGTGAAGGCCTTAAGAGATTGATCCTCAATGAAGAGGAACTTATGTCCAAGCGGAATCAACTGTTGGCCGAAAAAAATCACTTGTAGCGCCTCCCGGTGCTAAAGGCGAAAGCTACTGAAGCAGCGGAGCTCGAGGCCCTATAGAAACAGAATGAGCAAGATGCGATAGCTCATAGTCAAGAAGCCACTCAGCTTCGCACACAACTTCAGGATGCAAAGTCTAAGTGGGATGAATTTCAAGACGCTGCTCTTGCTGCTACCGAGCGCAAATCTGCCTCCATTGAACGAGAAAATAATTTGGAGGCAGCTTTGAACTCCAAATCTGAAGAAGCTACTGTCGCCGAGGAGAAGTGGTCCCGGATGGAAGATAGTTATAAGAAGATCATGGATCAAAATAAGGTTCACATAACCACAATCCATGATCTCGACCATAGCCTTAGTGCCTTGAGATCCGAGTGGGATGGCCTATTGACCGAGGTTGATAGGCTTAAAGCAAAACTTCAGCACTAAGGAGATTCGCTCATCACTGAAAAAACACATTATGTGTACCATATGAGGAGGAAAACCTTGGAAAAGTCTAAAGAAGCCAAGTCCCCGGGCCAATTCGAGTCCTGCATCAATGCTTCATACTCGGCCTCATCCCTAGTCAAAGGAACTGATTTGATCCCAAAATGATAAATAAATTAAATGAAAATATAAGACTCAACGTTGAAATCGAAATAAACAACACGTAGCTTGGTTCTGAGAGCAAGCTTTCCTAAGACAGCGATAAAAATAATATTAGACATAAAATAAAATATTACTTAGCTTGAGAATAATGTGTAGCATAAGTTTTGTGAGAGATTTTTCCCCTCTACAATGGTTGTTGGAGCCACTATTTATGGCTATACATAGGGAACAAGATCCTAGGATCAAACTCCTCTTAAATGACAATAAAGGGGGTCATTGATAAATATGTAACGGCAAGTCATGAATGCCAAAATTTTGTACAACGGCCGCATATATAATACTGAGGAATATTCTTCATTAAATGCCAATCGGTGGCAAACATTCATTTGCTTCGGTCGATTGCGTTCCCTTCGGGGGCTACCCGGTACCAACCGAAGCTATTATCCTCGGTCTTGGTTTCCACTTGATTCATCTTTCATCTGCCTATGATTCCACGTGTCACGTCATCATTCGAGCATTTAATATAAATTGATTTCACCCTATAGAGTTATAGCAAATAATTTATCTTATTTTCAAAATTATATATTACACATTTTAAGAAGACTTATCTGTAGATATTATTTGATTAACCTGATAATGAAAAAATTCTTTACGCTGATAATTAATATATATATATATATATATATATATATATATATTACTTAACTCATTACAAATACATGCTTAATTTCATAATACACAACTTAATCTTTAATGTTGCTTTAACGATCACCATTTGGAGAAAATCTTTCATAACATTGATGTTCATGCGAATGTAAATGATCGATTCAAAGCTACTGTTATTATTAGTTTATACTTTAAGTTCGATATTGTTGGAAGTTTTAAGCATGATTTAGTTTTGGGGTCAGCGTCTAATCAACAATTCATTTTTTTCTAATGTATTGTCTATTCCGTTCACACTGCCAACATGAGAATATAAGATGTACACATTAAGTAAGTGAGCAAAAAATATAGAGCCAAACCTTTATTTCGAGAGTATTTCAACTTTGGAACGTGCTATAAATGAAGCCTAACGAAATTTGTTACTATTAGTTATAATTTCGCTATGAATATCATTGGTTTCACTATTTAGTGGAAAAGTTTTCGTTATGGATCGTTGCAACTTCATTGTTGTTGAAAAGAACTTGCAATCTAATTTACTGCGAATAAAACAAAGTTTTTCTGGACTTTTCTCTCATTCGACATTAAAAGGTTCAATTTTTAACCATGAATTGCATAGGATGGCTTTCTAACATTTTTTTTAAATTTTTACCCAATTTAGAAAGATCTATAGTGTTTTTACACTTTCTCTCCGACGTGACTCGAACGGGACCTAACAGTCGTGGGTGGAGCTTTTTAGGAAGGGGAACCTCCACTTATTTACGTAAAATAATCTAAAATTATTGTATACATAAACAATACTTGCGTACACATTATATTACGAGACATTCTAATAGTAGATTGATAATTACTCTATCATCTTTAATTATGGTTCTCGGATTTGAATCTTGTGTATAGATTTTTTTTATTAGAAAATGTTAACGGACTTTTCAACGCCGAATGAGAAAAAAAAATAAAGACGGATTAATTTTCTTTTTATTTTTTAATTTTTTATATTGACTATGTGTAAGACTTGAATACTAGTTGGAAAAGTATATGGTATTACGCGTGAGGTGATTGTGGCTCCATATAATCAAACACCTTTGGCCAGTCTTCTCCAACCCCCCCAAAACCCCAGCTGCTCCTTATAGACTACGACTTCCCTAAACCCCCAAAAGTATACACTTCATTTTCTATTTTCAACATATATCTGTATTCTG